TGGGTGAGTGTCGTTGAAGAAGAAGGTGCGGACTGTGTGATCTTCTCCCTCCCGGTACATTTCGAAGGTGATGGTGGCACATGGGGGCGGCCGCATGCCGTTTGACAGTTGCATGGCAGAAAGCAGGGCGGCCAGATTCCAGTCATGCTGAAATGTACCAGAACATTTGAATCACAATGAAAAATCACCTGAATAAATGTGTTAATAAATCAATTTATAAGAGACATCGTTGATTGATTTATAGGGTTAACAAAAAGTAAGGGTCTTCAAACTTTACCCTTCGAGGACCCTATCAATTAATCCACAATGATCACGGGGCAACTTCAATAAATTTACAATGATCTGTGGGCCACACGACTGTCAGAAAATGATGTAGCTAGGAAACTTAACCATATTGTGGGCCTTAGGAAATTACTTCCCAGCTACATGATATTACAAAATACACCTGTGAGAAGCACAAAACACCGATTTTAATATATTGGCCTTGCTATTATAACGATGGGAAGACTAATCTCCGCTTCAGTTTTGTGCTGCTGCACATAATCCAGCAATTATGACATCTGTAAATCGAACAAAAAAAGATGGTGCTAAAGAAGGAGTGCCTTGTCCAAAAGCTGTCGCTGTATATAACGATATCATGGGAAGGATAGTCGATAGCTTCAATGAAAGAAAAGAAAGATGCCAAATAAGAAGATCTGTAAAATGGTGTGGTATCGTATCTTTTATTTTCTTATAAAAGTTGCCACGGAAAAAAGTTTCATACTATGGCCAGTGAACAAAAGAAACAGATATTTAGACCAGCTAACATTCCGTATAGCGTTAGCTCGTCAGCTTATCGACGGATATTCCTCAAGAAAAAGTAAAGGATATTCCGCTAGCTTTCCAAACAAGGAAGTGTAGTTCCGGTTGATGTGCGCTTAGCCAGTGTGGAAAATAATGTGCCGAAGATGGTTTCCAACTATAAACGATGCGGGAAATGTAGCAGAAAGGGACGATAAGAGAACTTGCCACATGTGTGCAGAGTGTGATGTCCCTTTGTACATTGCAACATATTTCTCATTTTTTCATGGAAAATAATCACCATTAAATGTAATTTTCTTTAGGACGATGAATAGTTCATTGGAAAGTATTCGTCCTATCACTAAAATTTAAATGTAAACATAAAATTCGGCAAAACAAAATATATTTCCTTAAATGCTATTGTTTAATTGTTAATAAAACATAAAAAGCAGCGAGAAATTCAAAAGAAAAATAAATGGACCACGAAAGGGTTAAATGAAAAAAAGAGAGCTTTTTTTATTTTACAAGACTACAACTTGTGACGGATGTATTCGCGTACCTTCCTCTAATACTATTGGGAAATCTTTGGGCTATCAATTCCCGTTTATTCACAACCAAATCTTTTGAAGAAGAAACTGTGATATGTAAATTAAGTCTACTGTATATAGTCAAGGTTTTCTAGCTTGTTACAGAAAAGGAGTGAAAGAAAGCCAGAAGTCAGGTGAGATTGCTACTGTTTAGTTATCACTACAAAATTATTGTGTAACTCAAAATTTAATTGAGGGAAGATTTAAAGTGATGATTGTTCACTATAATTGAATTAATATTAAATTAAGTGGGATAACAGATTTGATACTATAAAGAGAGGATGGATTTTGATAGTCTCTTAATAATTCGTATATTTTGCTGTTGTTTCACTTATATTGTTAGCTTTAGAATATTCTCTTTTTGTTGATATTAATTGAATCTGTTCTATTATTTTGTGAGATCAATAAATAGATTGATTAGATTATAGCTAGTGTTTCTTCCTTTAATCTCACACATCTAGGTGCCCAAGAGAGTAATCCAAGTCTCTCATAAACTGATTCTAAGGGAAGAGATGGTATTACAGATTTGTAATATATGTATATGTATATCAGTTTCAAAAACATTAGAGATGTAAGTTGAATTCTAAAATACTTTGCGTGTTAAAGATGAAAGTCCACCTTTTTTTCTGAAAACTTCTGAGATTTTATGCATAGTCAGATTTTTTAAAAATTTAAAATTATTCAAGATACAATAAAATTTTGGGAAAATTCGTCAGTTTAAGAAAAGAACAATGTATTAGATTGATAACAAGGATATCAATAAAGCGTTTTAAATATCAAGAATAACAGAAAAAAAGGGGTTTTTTTCTTACGAAAAAAAAACAGCAAGGCAATTTTCCTGATATTGCCTCAGATTCAAATGGAGGTCTACTAAAATGCCTTCAACGGGTTATTCATGGCCCGCTGGCAACGTGTTGAAGACCCCAAGCATAAATGATTCCTTCAGTTTGAAAAAGGTGTAATTTCAAAAGTGTTGCGCGTACACAAGGGAAAAATATATGAAAAGAACACCAAAAACACCAAGTTTATGCATTTTCTACAAGTGTTCAATATGTGCCCCTTTGGTGACCACACAAGTCCAGAAGGTAATCTTGCTCATTCTAATACATTTTGCAGCATAGTCTTGTCAATTGTCTACACTGCGACACTGGTGTGTTCTTTGAGCTCGAATAAAGATTATGGTGGTGGAGGTACGTAAAAAATGTCCGTATGGTATCCCAAGGAGTGTATCCACAGGGTGTTAAATCAGGGATCTGGAGGGTCATTGGAACAAAACTAGATCATTTTCATCAATACATTCAATCCAGCGATGCGGAAGCCCATCGATCAGGTAGTCACAAATCTACATATGCCAATTAAGGGTGAGGGATTAGAATAAATAATATAATCTTGGTAAGTCTGTGGTTCTTTTCATACGTCTTTCATGTGTACGTGTAATATTTTTGAAAATATAGCCTTTTATAAACGAATGAATCATTTATACTAACCTTGTATATCAACTTCGCGCGATCAGAAGGATTATATAAAACATTCAAAATCAATAGGTCTTACATTATTTTTAATCACATTCATAATTCTTGAACACATTTGCTGGTGTTTAAAAAACATAAAATTATTACAAATATAAAATATCAGGTAATCCAGAAAGTAAGTTCCTTTTAGAAACACAAAGGTAGAAAACACAATAATTTACTACTAATAGTTATTATGTAATGAACTACATTGTTCAGAATATTTTTTGACGTAGGTACTAGCATTGTTTGGGCATTTATCGTGACTATTTGGAACTATGTTGTCTGCGATTGCAACTATTGGATTGTAACGGATCTGATCTAGTCGTCGTTCTTAAAATGCTTGCCATCAAGAAAGCATTTTTGGTGATTGAACAGAGAAATTTCCTTTAATACGAGATCCAGTAGCAGGAGTGATCAAAAACTACTCATCTCATCTCTGCGATAACTATCGTGCGCATTTTGTGTCCTTCATTGAATTGCCGCACTTACCTTCTAGCCATGGAATTGCTCATTGTATTGGAGGTCCTAATTCGCAATGTTAAATTTTTATGTGAATTTCACAAACCATGGTGTTTCTTGCATTCTTTGTTACCATTGTCACTTGCCCAAATCCCATTCAACCTTTTATTGTTTCTACAGATATTTCCTTACTGTCCATATGTTACTTTCTCACTTTGCTTGCACTGCTAACAACAATGAAGTTTTTTGAGATACACATTAATGTACACATGGCGCTTTGAAAAAAGTGTCAAAATTTTTTTGTATTTTTTTATGGAGTATTGTTCTTCACGTAAACGTTTGTTTTATTTTTGTGGATAAGAGTAAAAAGAGAGAGAAAAAGGTTAGAAATCTGAAGGAAGTTAATTTGGGGAAGCATACTAGTACATAGTACATAATCAAATGACTCCAAAAACAAGCTAAAAGAAAACTCCACCTAGAACAAAAATGTTGTGTAGCTCCTCTATTTAAAAACCATCTCTATCAGTTATAAAATTTAAAAAAATGCAATGACATCAGAAATATTTCTAAAGGTATTAAAGAAAAATTTGAAAATGATTATCATTTTGAAACAAATGTGAGCAAATGTTTCGTGATAAAATAGATAGCCGTTCTTTTTAGTATCTGAATAAGGAAAAGAAACTGTAACTGCTTGTTTTAAAAATGTCTTGCAATCAATAGCAGAAAACGTTGCAGTTTTGTTATTTATTTCATCACATATTTCTCGTGAATCATGAGCTACTCTTCAACTAAATATAAATGAAAATGAATGAGAAACAAATCAATTGACGGCTCCCAATTACCTTGATGAATGTTTTCAGCACTTTTAACAGTTGGTCCCACATATAACTAGTTATTTAAAATTGAATGATGAGTATAAAAATTATTATTTAACAAGAAAATATTTTTTTAAAAAAAACTTTTACCCTTAACTTTTCGAAATGAAGTCTCAATGGAATTGGCAAAATAAGAATTGCTTATTTTTTATTTTCCATAAAAATTATTTAAAAACACGTTTTTTCTGAGAAATTAGGGATTAGGATCCACATATTAAAACGTCTATTCAACATTTTATTTCATTTTTCGTTTAAAATCATATGATTACCAGATGATCTATCCATTTCAGTGAATACATTCAACTACTTATATTTCCCTTTTATTTATTTTTAAACATAGAATTAAAATATTTTTACAAAATAATTACAAAAAAATATCCATAATAGTAAGATTTAAGAGCGAGGTAAAATTGTAACCGATAACATTTTCTAACATATACATCTTTTCTTTCTCTTCTCTCTCTCTCTCTCTCTCTCTCTCTCTCTCTCTTTCATCTTTTAATTCATACTGTAAGTTCACACTCTCCCTATATATATATATATATATATTTATTTATTTATGTATATATATCGTTCAAATTTTCAATCGTTAATAAAATATTTTTTATTCATTCACTCAAGTTCAAACACATTTTTTTAAACTTGTAGTAATGATAATACACTTGATGTTAATACAATTTTTTTTTCAAATATTAATTCATTAATTCTATTTAATTAATGAATAAATAGTAACAAATAAAAATAATAGTCCAACACCCTATATAAAAAGGAAAACCGCTCGTTGTGCCCCAGTAGTGCAATAGGTAGCGCGTTGGACTTCTAATCCAAAGGTCGTGGACTCGAATTCCATCTGGGGTGGCCTAATTTCTGGTAATGTGATTTCTTTTTACTATACTATTTTGTTGCAATAATTAAATTTAATAATTGAATAAATAGTAACAAACAAAATAATAGTCCAACAACCATATACTGAAAGTAAAATGGAAATTTTCAAGGAAAACCTTTTTTTTTTGTCACTTAATATTATGATTCTGTCTCATGTGTATATACATACTTATACATTAATTATAACCTTTTAATAAAAAGCAACTAAAATAATATTTTCTTCGTTGACATTAGTAGGAATTGACTTAATTTTTTTTAATATTATTTAAAAGAAAGAGATGGGTGAAAAAAAAATTAATAAAAATGAAAAAAGAAAGGCGACGAGGGAAAAGTCTTTTCAATAAGTAGGAATGCACTTACCGTGACATAGACGCTGACTTTGATTTCCGGTGAAGGATCATCCGGTAGCGCCTTCGCTCTCATCCGAACTGTGATCAGATCGATCAAGGCACCTGAAAAAATTGAACTCGAATTGATTGATTGATTGAATATTAACGTCGCACTGTTTAGCTACACGAGGGCTTTTGACGACGGACCACGTAATTTTGAA